AATTTTCTTGCTCATCTTTTAAAATGAAAAGTTGCCAGAATGATCCCATTAGCTTCACCACGTCTGCCCTCATGGAACAACATGAGAACTGATGAATGATTTTTTTCCGAAATCTAATACGGATCGACTTTCCTAACATTTGTAGACTAATCTCAATTTCAGTAAACACCGAACGACAATGGCTGACACTTCACATTAAGACATACACGCTTTTCTGCGCGCGCATCTTGAGCTAACTCGCTGAACATTTGTCGGGGCAAAAAAAATTTCCAATAGGCCTGACTTTTGAAAACGTGGCACAGTTCAGATATTTTGGAACCACTATAAAAATCGAAACTGATTCAGGAGGAAATTAAGAGGAGACTAAATTCGGGTAATGCTTGCTACCATTCAGTCCAGAATCTTTTGTCTTCTCGTCTGCTGTCTAAAAACATAAAAATTAGAATATACGAAACTACAATTTTGCCTGTGGTTCTGTATGGGTGCGAAACTTCGTCTCTGACATTAAGGGAGGAACACAAACTGGGGGTGTTGAGGAGGATATTTGGACCGAAGAGAGATGAAGTGACAGGAGGTTGGAGAAAACTGCACGAGTAGTAGTTTCATAACTTGTACTCTTCTCCAAGTATAAATAGAATGATCAGGTTAAGGAGGATGAGATAGGCATGGCATGTAGCACGAATGGGAAAGAAGAGGAATGCATATCGGATATTGATGGGGAAGCCAGAAGGAAAGAGCCCACTGGGAAGACCAAGACGTAGGTGGGTCAAATGGATCTTGGAGAAATAGGATGGGACGGTATGGGTTAGATTCATCTGGTTTACGATAGGGACCAGTGGAGGGCTCTTGTGGACACGGTAATGAACCTTCAGGTCCCACAAAATGCTGAGAAGCTCTTGAGTAGCTGCACAACTGGCGGCTTCTCAAGAATGGCTCAGCTCTATGAGTGAGTGATGAGTGACGCCTGAAAGTTGTGGGGGAAAGTGCAGTGCACGTTTCATGCATTAAAAAAACTAAAGTAAAGGTATCCCTGTAATAGGCCTTGGAGGCCCATAAGATTGTCAGATGTTGAGGTTCCCACATTTTCTAGACAATCGGCTCATAGATGGCGGTACGGCTGTCAGCCCTAAGCGCCGGCCACCCTTTACCCCAAAGGATATTCAAAGAATATTCCTGGTACTCATTTCTGTTAGAGGTTGAGTCGACCCCAGAGCCATAGTGCGGCCGGAAGAATTAGGTAAACTGAAAAAATTCCAATTACCTCATCGGGATTCAATCCCGCGACCTTCCGGCTTGTAGCATTGTGCCTCATCGAACAACGCTACCGCGTGCCCCACATGTTTCATGCATACTGCACTTTATTCCGGACGAGTTACGGTTTTCGAGCGAATAAACAAAAGGGCGTCAACGTCGCGCATTTCTGTTGACTTCTCAATGGGGGAAAGTTACAACAAAGCAATCCCTGTGCTTAATTGATTAAACACTGCGCCAGCCGTGAGGACGTGTGGGGGAGTGGATGTACAGAACCACGTATTCTTAACCTTGACACCGGATGGAGAAGAATGGTCAGCTTCACGTCTCGGCAGCTTTCCTCCCGGGGAAAATGCTTACAGAAGTAACAGGATAGGAGACTCGGTGTATTCCAGAGCCGGTCTGGGAGCCGTCGAGAATAAGGAAATCTCCTGCTCCCGCGCTGAGTCGAACCCCGATTTCTTAGTAAGTTACTATGAGCATATGCCAGATCCCTCGCACAGTCTCACACCTGTGTTAACTCCGTGTGTGGCCGGTAAGTGTGCCGAAAGGTCCTTCAAATCTCTGCAACTCCATCTCACTCGTGTGCGTAGGTGCGCCCAGGCTTTGCACTCGCTCCCTTACAGGAAGAGGACACAGGACTTGCAGGCATGAAGCGGGATTCCACGCTACGCAAAAACAGGCATGTCCTGCTATTATTGCCCTCGTACCGAACGAAGAAGTTTCCAACTGAGCCTGTACTGCATGAGCACCACCAGAGGGTTTTCATGTGTGTGTTTCGGAGTGGGGAAGTTACTTAAAACGCTGTTTAAATCGGTTTCGCATATTTTTATAGTCGCCTTAAAATGTACAGGTCACAAGGATTACTCACTCATGCAGCTGAGCCCTTGCTGAGAAGCCGCCAATTGTGCAGTTGCTCAAGAATTTCCAAGCATTTTATGGAACCCGAATGTTCATTACAATGTTCACAATAGCCCTCCACTGGCCCCTAACCTGGGCCACATCAATCCAATCCATACCATCCCATCCTATCTCTCTAAGATCCATTTTCCTATATGCACTCCTCCTCCATTCGTGCTGTATGCCCTGCCACCTCATCCTCATTGACTTCATTATTCTAATTATACTTGGAAAAAGGTAAAAGTTATGAAGCTCCTCATTATGCAGTTTGAGGTCATAAAAGTATATTCTTATTTTGTTAAATTTTGTGTTAATGCAGAATAAACACAATAACACTATCGGGGGTGTCTGGGGTTTAATTAATAAATGAGCATGAGTCTAATGTGACTCAGCCTCAAACAACTGTCTCAGGGGCGTGCAAGGAAATATTTAAAATGTTTTCTACTAAAGTAATTTCAAACAGATGTGATCGTAAGACATCCTCCATAACACTGAAAGGTAATGCATGCTGTGGGGGAAGACACGACTCTATATGTGTACGGTGATGTAACACGACATGATCAAGTGGACGTTACAAGCGACCCTCATGGTCCTACTTCTTACAATACGATGCCCCTTTCATTATACTCCTGCACAGAAAAATTTTTAAATGGTCCTGGGAAATGCTGGGTTTCTGGCCTTAGTCCATTGTCCGGTATTCTAAAAAACCTGAGAACACAACGTTTCAGAAACTGGATCTGTTTCCATCCTTAGGTGAGTGGGTGCAGGCACCTACACTGTTGTTGAGCCCCTCTGATAGAGCTAACCCCAATCACCGGACAAGTCAGTGTAACTACAGCTATATATATGAACACTGAGACCAGGCTATGCCTAGGGGAGATAAGGGGAAAATACGCAATAAACATTCAGGCGCATTCAACTGTCTGCTAACTTCGTCTAAAACATCTCTGAGGGCAAGTCTCTCCTGAGTATGCAACCTCACGGAAGAAACGTTCTGTGAGTTCAATGAAATTTCCGGTATGGCAGTTCTGGTTCCCACTGTATGTCGAACAGAGAACGTGCCAACTTTCTAACGACGAGGTTAACAATCAACATTATCATCTCAAGATGACGTACCCTCCGGTACATGTTGCACCTTGGTTCAGTGTCGGAGTAACGAATACCTCCACTCCCCAAAAGTATTAACTGCAACGTGTTTCACTAAGTACAGTCAACTTTACCTTTCGCTATAACTAGTGGTGGTAACACCCGCGTCAGCATTCAGAAGCTACGGGCGTGTCGCTCCAGGGTCATACGAAACACATATGCTGTGTGGGCAAAATGAGATGTTCTTAATGTTAAAGTAAGTGATGCAAAAGTTACCAGTGTGCTTTGATGGGATAATCGATGGGGCAGACATTCAATATTACTGAACATCTGACGTTCCCCCATATCTCTCGCCAATCTGAGCCAATCACGGTGGCTCGCCTGCGGTGACGTCTCCCGTGAGGATATGCAATTTTCAACGGCTGATGTGGGGGCGGCTGGTATAAAGGGAGCAGGTGGAATGAATGACACTTGCCGGGCTAGAAAGGTACTTAACGACAGCTACCTGTGACGGAACTCATACCTGACATTTAAACTTTATCCATGCGCGTTCGTCTTGAACTAACCCGCAATGTTGCACAGCCTGCGTGTTGTCGCAACCGCCATTTATGCAGATATCTGCTAAAACACGGTTAACGGCATGTGGCGAGCCGTGTGGTCATGCTAACGCTTTGAAGCCTGAAATTAATAGCCTGCAATTCAGTTCCTACTCATAGAAAGCACAATGCGTCTCAATTACAAACATCATTGCTCTTTCGGGAAATAATGTTTACTGTGAGAATCATACAAGTACATAAATACACTTCGTGGGCAAACATGCACATTTTTTTATGTAGGAGCTGGCCGATCGCCAATCTTAGTTCCAACGTGTTCTGATATGTCAGGCAAAAGAGGGACCAATTTAAAAAAGATGAAAAACGAAATTCTGTTAAATTTAGGACAAGACGAGTAACTTCTACTGGAATTGTACCTGACCCTTCTAGAAGACTTTTATGGGCCATCTCTGTTAGGGATGAGAATGCAGAACTGGTAGTTCTGCAGTGCAGCTGCGACCGTCTTTTGAGTTGGATCCTCTCAGTTACAAACTCAAGTCCTAATGTAATAACATGTCTGATTTCCAAAGTTGTAGTTCTAATGTCACAAAAGTCGGCAAATAATCAGAAATGGTTTCAACGGACTGGTTAGATGGGGCAGCAGACAGGCGTGGAATATTTGCCATAAATAAAATAAGAATCCAATGACGGGCGATTTGCAGCGTTTGCAGCGAAATTTTTTGCAGCCTTAAACGCTTGAGACAAAGCGAAGACCAGCTTAGGACAGTATCGAAAGGCACAAATATCCCAACCTGCTTAGCCCCTAACTCGTTTCTGAAATGCCATTTTATTTACATCTACGTGCGGTGTCAAAGTTACCGGATTTTAGTTGGCTGGTTGAGTCTTTCCTTCCTTCTTCCATCCCTCTCAAGTAACTTAGCTAAGACGCTGGAATTCGGGGATAACAGCATAGCCTCTAGAACCGAAACTACCCACCACCTGAACCTTTTGCCATTTGCTCTCTAAATTAAAAGGGCCAAAAGAAATATAAATGCGAGCGTACACTGTCGGGTGTAACTGCAGACGCGAAATATTTCTACTATAATCAAATTCGGCCTTCCGCATAGGACGGGGGTACAGCAATCCACCTTGTTGCCAGCTGTTGGGGGGGGGGGATCTTGGAATGGGGCCAGAAGCGCCTCCATTTGACTGCACGTGTTTTGTGCTTACCGTGTGCAGACTGCTCGTGCTGTCCTTCTTGTCCGTCTTCTTGGCTGCCCTTTTCGCCTTCGACTCCAGAAACCTCTGTTTCAACACCAATGTCTCCTGAATGTTCTGCTCGCAAATTCCGTTGAACGACTGATCGAATCGCGGTATACAGTCAGTCTGACGTCTCCGATAACTCTCGATTCGACGCCGAAGTCTGTCAACAACAGCTTGCCTCTTAGGTGGCAGGACATCTCCCATTCCTCCCCCTCCTGGAGTGAGGAGGCCTTGGCCTGGGGCAGCAGCGACGGGCTTGCGAGGAATGAGTCCACCATCCACGCAGCTGCCCCCTCTTCCGCCGCCGGGATCCACGATGCCCGCTTCACAGACACACACGCTCAGGGGGTATGCCAGTTCGAAGAGAGGATCAGTTGACAGCAGTGCACATCGCTACCTCACACACGCTTCCACAAAACACATGGTTCACGTGCTCCTACTGACCACAATCAGCTTGCAACACAACAGGTTGCAGCTGCCCACACAAAGCGAACATGAATGCCTTCATTTCAGACGATACTTTTCGTGTAAGTTTACACCGTCGCCTGCCTTCCGGAATATCACAGTGGCACCTTTCACAACATTCACCTCCAAGGTCAGCATTGATGTAGTCGTAAAATCATTATTCACATTCAACAGTCACGAATCAACTCTAAAATCTCTTTCCCTGAAACCTTCGTACCAAAGGACAAAATCTGCGAAGCTATTTCCGTCCTGACCGGCGCGTGGGTCACACAAACGAACACACACGTCTATTCGTCCCTCAGCCTCACTTCTATATGACGCCTTATTCCCTTCCAATTCGAACGCAGACAACATCTAGCGGCATAATAATGAACTACACTCGTCACGTGGTGTGGTGTTTACCGGTATTTATGGCGATGGCTGCTTTCGCGAGGTCGCAGCGTGTTGCAAGATTTGGAAATGTTTTACTTAGAAATGAAACGTTATTCATTCGTCCTTCTGTGCAGAGACCAGTCATATTGAAACAACAGTTGACAGGTAATAGACATATATTTGATTTTACTCTCATTAACGTTAGTCCCACGATGTAAGGTGGTTTGCATTTCCTTCCCACGTTTGAGACAAAATTCGTGCTACGCAAATCGGTTCAGTAAATGACATGCAGCTGTTCTCTTGTGATTGGGACAGTGTTGGTAGAACACAGTGGCGTAAAGTATATTAGATTGTGGAGTAGTGTAGGAACCTATGAAAATGCATATCTACGAAAACCAGTTTTTAGATATTAATGTTTGTGGCCGTAGTGTAGAAGGAATTAATACAGGGCTTAATTTTAAACTAAAAGTGACTGTGACAATGTTAATATGAAATTAAGCAGTTTTTCTTAAAGAATTTTTTACATTTTTTTTTCTGAATGCTATGAAATGCTAACTGATGTCGCAATTAAACAATAGACTGGTTTGAATACTTAGTTACGTGTCCCACTGTGTCCAAGATTTGTTTGGAACTGAAATTTTAGCAGGGTTGACCGTAGACTGTGAGAATGCCATTTCGTTTAACTGCAAGGGTGACCACACTGAAGGACAGCAGGATATGAACAAAGCTGAAAGGTGCACAGTCTCTGCTCATCGGGACTTGAGCCCATTACCTTCCTGCTTGTATCATAGTGCCTTAACCAACTACATAATGTTTTATAAGTTTTTCCCACTTGTAATGGAGACACTGGTTTAAATGAGACGCATGAACTTACGGCACACCATTCAGTTTGGTCTCTATACATTTTTTAATTAATTGAATGGAAGAAGTTCACAGTGATTCACTCAGGAAAATTTTCAAAATGTAACAGTTCCCCCTTGTGAATCGCTTTGCACAACAAACACTTCCCACCTTAACAAGAAACATTTCTCTATGAATATCTCTTGCATTGAATCCTTTTACTCTCAGAAAATGCACAACAGAATGCTGCTCTTTGGTAGTATATCCCTGATGCTTGGTTGTCATTTGACTACTGAAACCAGCCTTTTGAACATGTGCATGCATGTCTGCTATCTAGACTGCCATGAAGCTATACTGTGGTGCTACCTAGTGATACATATAGAAAACTTATTACATCCATTACAACTGTTTTACTTCCATTTGTGTCCTATTTACTGACTGTCCCTCGTAATTTCATTTGAGATATATAGATAACATTTCATGGGTCAGGTTTTCCTCACTGCAAAGCTTTGTGTTTCTGTGTTTGCAGGGCTAGGTGTTCACTTGCGTCTTCTGAGCACCCGAAGTGAGGCGGCGGCATCACCAGATCCGGAATCTGACTACCACACCATCATAAAGGATACTGAGAAGGGAACAGGTGAGTTGGTCTTGTTCAGTTCTGATGAGAGTTGGACATTTCATCTGCTTCTTGCACTCAGTGCCAGTCCTGGCATCTGACAGGCTGAAATTTACTGTGTGTCGCAGTTCTCAGCCCATGAAGTGATGGGCTGTTGCTACTGTGAATATAAATGCAATTTTTCCATACAAGTATCACTCAGATGCTAAATACATAACTTATTAACAAGCGACTCAAATGACTTTAAAAGTGCCTGCCTTGGTACTGCTGCCAACCACAGAAGTGTATTTGTAAAAGCAAAAACCGAAGCCTGTTACTTAGAACGTGTATGGATGTGTAATTTTAAAAGCAAACCCAAAATCCTGACCTTGTGAAATTGTTGGAGACAACTTCTAAACATACAACTTATTTATTGGGCCGTCACAACACAACAATCAAAGAACTTCAGGGACAATGCCCAGATACAGTTCACTACATGTTTCGGCCACTAGTGGCCATCCTCAGGTGAATACACTTCAACAAACATACACCAGTGAACTGCAGCACGTAAAGTCCGATACAATATCGTAAATCATTTAAGACAATTATAATAAGAATATAAAATATAGGTTATTCAAAACCAATAAAAGTCTTATATAAAAAACAAAATTAAAACCTGACTGATGTTTTATAACATCAACCAACGACTGATTTGATGTTATAAAACATCAGTCAGGTATGAATTTTGTTTTTTATATAAGACTTTTATTGGTTTTGAATAACCTATATTTTATATTCTTATTATAATTGTCTTAAATGATCTACGACATTGTATCGGACTTTACGTGCTGCAGTTCAGTGGTGTATGTTTGTTGAAGTGTATTCACCTGAGGATGGCCACTAGTGGCCGAAACATGTAGTGAACTGTATCTGGGCATTGTCCCTGAAGTTCTTTGATTGTTGTGTTGTGACGGCCCAATAAATAAGTTGTATGTATTGTAACACAGCAGGATGCACGAAATGAAAATTACAACTTCTAACGTTAGCCTTTAGGTATTGTTGTTTTCAAATAAACTTCTAACATTGGCATTGCTAATGTGGCAGTAAATTTCAAAGTTACTTAGTTTGCATACTTAGATAAACCTGAGGGTATGCAAATTGGGCATTTGTGTTTTCTTTTTCCCCTTACTTTTACATCCATACTGTTTATAGTTAAAGCAGTCTGCATATAAGTGATATTTCTCTGCAGAACCCAAGATAATGACAACAGTGAGTGTGTAACCATGGGAATGAAACTTGTTTACACTAGATCGTAGCATGATGCATTTTCATTCTTTGGGGATAACTTACAAAATTATATACTTGTATATGACACTTCAAAGGAGTGCAGGAAGACAATTTAGAATTTTGTTCTGAAGATCACAGAACTTATATGATGCAGTATATCAGACAAAGAATAAGGACATTATCAAGATTTTTTTATAAAACATGGATTGTGCCAAGATCTTCCACAGGACCAAAGACAGATATAAAGAAAAGGGAATATGTGTGTCTAGGGGCTGCAATTAAGGAAATTTACATATAACATTTTTCTTCATTCATTCATCAGTAATCTGTCAGACGACAGGTCCACAGTCTCTTCCAAAACAGTTCCTCCACTTAATGTGATCCAGAGCTTTCTCCTTCAAATAAAAATATCCTCTTCTGTCCCCAGAGTTATCCCGCATCTTCTTATGTCTTCTTCCTCGTCTTTTGGTTCGCATACATGGTGTCTCTGTTTTTATTATTGTAGAAAAACTATTGTAAATACAAAAAAGGCCTAGGCAGTGCCCATCTGGCCTTCTGTAGCACATTCTTATAAACATATTATTCTATGTAAGATTTGAGGTTTTCACAGCAGTGACTATAAAGAAAGCTGTCTTCTGGGGTGTGGCGCCGTGTAGAAATTGTGATAACCGACATTTCGGAGGAACATCGCCTCCATCTTACGGAGGTGATACGTTCCTCCAAAATGTCGGTTAGCACAATTTCTATATGGCGCCACATCCCAGAAGATGGCTCTCTTCATCTTATTCTACAATAGTGGTAACTCCACGATTCTTAATATAGATCTTAACTTAAATCTGAGAGTAGCTGAAAGGTCTCCTGACTCAGATCCTTGTAATTCTTATCTGTGAGGAAATGGAAAACAAAATATATTCAAATAATCCCTACACACATTGGATCTGTTTCATCTGCTGAGGTCGGTGAACTGAAACTGGTCTCAGACAATAATTTCATGAGACTAGAAGTTTGTTTATGGGCAGAAGGGAGACATTTTGAGCATCTAATGTGTTGGGGAGTTTGTCTAAATAGTTTATTTACATTAAGAAATGCTTTCAGTGTTACCCTGCCAATCTAGACTCAATTTTCTTAGCAGGTGATGGCTGAAGTTCTGGCTGTCAGACTGACAGTAAGGGGGTCAGGCAGTTTGGTCTTTTGAGATAGAGACTAGTTGCTTTCATGTGACGTTAAATGTTTTAGAAGGTAATATGATGTGACTGATTATATAATGCATTTATTTGTGTAGAAACAGCTTCTTTAACTACTCATGTAAAGAAATTATTTTATCATAATTATACAAGTGAGTCTTTTAGTTTATTGTTGCAGTTTTGCGTATCTCCATCGTCTAACAGGCATGAGTACCAGGAGTCTTCTTGGGGGTAAAGGGTAGCCGGCACATGAGGCTGACAACCTCACTGCCAGCAGTTAGTTGATAGTCTAGAACATGTGGGAGCCTCGATTATGCTGCCTGCATAATTTTGAGATTAAGCCATAAAAACAAACTCAGTTATTTTAGTCCGCAAGCGAACTATACCAACTGAGCAACCGCCGCTTGTCGGCGAAGTTTAGTTCCAACTTTTTGCGGATAGAGGGTGCCGTGTGGTCATCTCAACGCATCCCCACGGCCATTAATTTCGGTTTTCTAGACCGGAGCCATAAACGTTCAGAATTGTGAAGACCACGTGTACATGATGAAGCGGTGTGCACCCTGGAAAGTTGCCAGTGGCACGCAGCTGTGTCAGTAGACACATGTGTGCTTCAATTGTAGGGTCCTGAAATGATGCATGTCAAATCTTAAAAAAATGCCCAAATTTTATTAAGATCTTTTTGTCGTTATTATTTTTATGTTATCGTTTTTTTTTATTACATATAGTCGCGTGAAATCTACATTTAGCTTTGTTTGCCGTTGACGAGCTTTGGCCCACTGGTGCCAGGTGTGTTAAGTTTGCTAGCCAGACATCATGAACATGCAGTACCTGTACATTAGGTAATAAATCTTGTTTTGCAAGTATGAGGGCTCTTGTGAACACGGTAATGAACCCGAAGGTTCCATAAAATTGGAAATTCTTGAGTAGCTGAACAACTGGAGGCTTCTCAAGAACGGCTCAGCTCTGTGGAGTTAATTTTGTAAATATGAATGTAGCAGTGGTGCGAAATTTTTAGGTCATATCTGGAAGATTCAGTGGAGATGCAATCAGTGTTTACGTAATACGTTTGTGCCTCTCCACCGAGGGGGTATTTCGTTCAAATCCAGACAGAGGCATTTCCTTTAGCAATCATTTCTGCCATGCGAATGTGCTACAGTATGGAAAGGGTGATATAGAAGGTCGTGTAGTGGTTTTCTGGGTTGCAGAAGCATAGAGTCCGGAAGGTTGTTTTCAACGTTTCAGAGAACATACTGACTACATCTTCAGAGGTATGCTTTTCATGTACATTCATTACGCTATGAAATGGCTAAGAAGAACAATGGGAATGATCCCCCCCCCCAGACTCCTGGGCGCCCTGTTGCCATCGGCACTGTGTGTACTTTTACGATCTGTTCAATTGGAAATGCAATCTGTGAAAGTGTTAGAGGAAGGGTCTCATTTCCATCCTTCCGAATAAAGCAATCGCTGTAAGTAGCTTGAGGGCCGTCGGCCATTCTCCCAGACGTGAATAAGTTAGAGCATCGTGACCATGCAGGCATTCATTAAGTTCTGTGTCGTTTCTCAGAGAACAGTGTGTTGCATTAACCGTTGTAGCTCAGTGGTAACTGTATGAACCTGCTGCTTGAAAATTGACGAACTCTGTGTTTTCCCCACACATTGTATTTATGTGGTTCATATGATTCTCACAAACAGTGGGTATTGCCCTTAATAGCATTAACCGGTAGTCTTTAATGGAGTCTCTGTGTGTTTTCTGTGAGCACGGACACGGCGTTTCCGTCCAGGCTAGTGTTTCAAAGATAGCAATGTTGGAAATCCAGATGATTTTGCTGCCTTCTACTGGCTAGAAGCTAGGTTGTGCTAACATCACGATCTTGCATGTGACGTCGTGTAGTTTGGTAGCTAAGTATCACTGTGACTCCAAGATCTCATTCTTCGCTGCCATCTCACCTGAGTACAGTGTAATCTCTCGGGTCGATGTGTTGACTTCGACGATCGTCCTGATCGGCTCCTTCCTGACCCTTCAGTGTTCATGCTAAGCCACTCCTGCAGTAGTGCAGTAACACGTGAAGATCTGCACTCGCTTGATGGTCAGAACGTGGCCCCCTCAGGTGCGTCGCAATTATGCGCCACATACAATAACCCGAGAACCTATTCACGGATTATCACGAAATTTGATTTTTGGGAGGGTACCAGGGGCATAGTTCCGTATTCCGTATTGAGGGGGTGGGTTTCCCCATGCACTTAGACGGGTTAGTGGTCCATTGTGCGTCCCCCTTTAATTTCTACTGTCTCCATACCCTACCGGTACTGGTGCTTACTATCAGCCCCTTTCTGCCAGCAAGGTTCCAACCTCCTCTGGCAGTGGTATCTAATAGTTAGTCCCTGTCTGTCAGAGAGGTCCCCCCTCCTCTGGCAGTGGTACCTAATACTCCCCCCCAATCTACCGGAGGAAATGGAAACTACTTGGGCGGGAAATGTTGCCTAATTTTGCTCAGAGGTCTCCTAGAGACATGAGGTTCTTTTACGTGCCGTAAATCTACGACATGGGACCCACGGCTTAAAGTCCCTCCCGGAGGACTTGTTCCCTGAATTTTTCCGCCCTTAAAAATTCCACGACCTCCGCCGGGTTTTTGAACCCGCGTACTACGAGTCATGAGGTAGGAACGTTACCTCTAGATTACGGAGGCCGCTCAGGGGCATAGTTGGTTGAGGGGCTATGGTACAAGCCGGAAGGTCGCGGGTTCAAGTCCAGATGAGGTCATTGGATTTTTTCAATTGACCTAATCCTTCCAGCCGTACTATGTCCCTGGGGTTCACTCAACCTCTAACAGAAATGAGTACCACGAATTAATTAAATAATTTTCCTGGGTAGTAAAGCGCGGCCGGCGCGTAAGGCTGACATCCTGACCGCCATCTTTGAGCCGATTGTCTACATAATGAGGGACCCTCAACGTCTCACAATCCTATATGCCTTCATGGCCTGGTACAAGGATAGCTTTACTTTACCGAGGGCTCTTACCTCGTGGGTAAAGCGGCAGGGGCGTGAAGCTTGCCACTCACCTCCAGCTAGTGCCGAGGTCAAGAAGATGTGGATCTATACATCAATCCTCCATACGCCTTCGTGGCGTAGTGCTTAATTATTTACGCACAGAGACAACTTTAGTACCGTACTGAAAGCTACGGCCATTTCTTCCATCTTGCCATTCATAATTATCCCGTCGGTATCACGCTGCACTGTGTTGGTTTCAGAAGGCAGACGTTTTCTTACCATCACAGCACTGCAGAGTACGAAGGAAGCAATAGTTCTGTTTCGTTTACTGCCCTTATAGTACTAGTGCGACAACCACGTAAAGTAAACCATTCGTTATATAAGCGTTCGCACTATTAACGCCCCATGCTTTCTCCCGTATTCCTGCACAGTCGTGCATGTTGTCGAATGATACGTCGGGGCTGACGCCTAACGCCATCTCCGACGAATAACACGCACAAATAGTGAATCGTAAACTGTTTCCTTTATATAGGACACTACACTTCACACATTCGCGTCAAAACATTATTAATGATCGCAGGCTGGACACGATATAGTGAAGCAAACGTTTCGTTCGTTCAAGCCAACTGCTAACTCAGTCATGCAAGCTGTTAACACTGGACAGCTTGTAATGAGTAACTGCAAAATGACAGCTATTAATCTCGCGCTTACAAAACAAAAGTGTATGACGGGGGACCGTGTCAGTACCCGCATTATAAGTGAAACTGACATTTATCTAATTTTGGAATCCATTTTGTTATGTATGTGTGCCGTATTTATGCAGCCACCAAAATACGTGCCCTCTCCAACAGCTGAGCGGGATTTCCAACCATCGTTCATGGAGCAGGTGAAAAGGTCCTCATTAAATTTTGCTGTTTGAACAAAATAATCCCAGAGTTAGAGAAACCAGAAACATGCATCGTGACCACCGCGGACTGTGCACTTTGCCCTCTGTACCTGCAAACTGCAGCAAGGAATATTGCAGTGTGGCTGAAACTTTTAGCGGAAGTGTGTATATGTAATATTATTGGGGGGAACATGTTGAGAGCCGCAGTATGACGAGGTGCTGCCATATACTTATATACTTGAATGTATAAGGGCTGGGCCTTCTTGGCCCTTACATCGCGACCATAGTGGTCTATTGTGCCAAAATTAATTACTTACTCATGGAGCTGAGCCCTTATGGAGGAGCCGCCAATTCTGCAGCTACTCAAGAATTTCCCAGCATTTTATAGAACCCAAACGTTCATTACCGTTTTCACAAGAGCCCTCAACTGGTCCCTATCCTGAGCCAGATCTATGCAATCCATACCATCCAATCCTATCTCTCCAAGATCCATTTTAATATTGTCCACCCACCGCCTCCTTGGTCTTCCCAGTTGTCTCTTTCCTTCTGGATTTCCCACCAATGTCGTATATGTAATCCTCGTCTCCCCCATTCGTGCTACATGCTCTGCTCACCTCATCTTCCTTGTCTTGATCATTTTAATTATACTTGGAGAAGATTACAAATTATGAAGCTACTCATTATGCAGTTTTCTCCAGCCTCCCGTCACTTCATCTCTCTTCGGTCTAGATATTCTCCTCATACATATATTAATTAGGACCTCATGGGAGGACCAGGACACGAATGGACAATCCCGAGAAGGGGAGCCGCGTTAAGCTGAAACGTCTGACGAGCATTGAGATCCGTCACTGCTCTTCCCTCCGGGAGCGGTGAGGAAGTAGCAGCGGTGAGAAGTGAGTGACTGCGGGCTCGAGATTGATAAGGCGAGGTGCAAGAAGGTGAAGCGAGGCGAGGATTGAAGGCTCCGCAGAGTGGGTGGGCTGCAATGTTTTATATTTCATCCACCTCGTTCAGAGAACCACCATAATAATGTTTAGGGCGCTTTGCACAAGGCTGTGTGTGTGGTGTACACTGAGCATCGCGTCCCACCTTCATATTTGGCCCTGAGACCTCCGCTATGACACATTTTAATGTGGTTTTTCTCAGTCCCACAAACAAATGCCGGAGTAGCAACTCAGAAGAGTCCGCGGCCGCTTTTTTCTACATATCATTTTACTATTCGCGCGCTGAATAATCCGAGCTACTGGCAAAAGACAAACTCCGTGGCCTGTAGTCCGCAAGCGAACTGTATCGGCCGAGCGACCGCCGCTTGTCGGCGAAGTTAGTGCAAGGTACTGACAGCGTCGTTAAATAAGCAATAATGGTACTTAACCGTTCCACTACTTACATGTTTGAAGTCCGTTGTACTTTCTCATGTACATGGTGTGAGAAAGTATTCTGATGATGGAAGAAATGGATGTCGAGAGCCTGTGCGTATGTGCTCGCTAGCGCCCGAAGGTGCGACGGAATTTATTCGCATTCTGGATATGGAGATTTTCTTGGAAACCACTCAAACTGTTTTGGTTAAATTGCAATGTCTTATGAAGACTTGTCCCCCAGAGTAACACTAAATGTGTGATGTATTCAGAAAAATGACTGCGCGCGCACTAGGAACCCGGAGCCGAAATTTTGACATCGTCGAGACCGTCCTTACCCGTCGCATCGATTTAATTTTTGTTCGGTATTAACTAACCAGCAGTGGTCTACCGAGCAACAATGCATTTCTTTTCCAAGGTATATGAGGAAATATGTGCAATGTATTTGCATTGATTTTTAACATTTTCCCACTTTGTCGAGAGGGGAACTACGATAGAGTGGTGTAACTTTTTCTTTCATTCCCCATATGGATGGGGTGGGGCTAAGTCCCTTGCACTGCGGCCACTTCTGGCCTATTGTACCAGCCCCAGATGATAGGTGAGGGTGATTGTGGAGCAATTGGTGGAATGAAGATTGGCAGGGGAAACCGAAGTACCCGGAGAAAACCTGCCACAGCGCCACTTTGTCCACCACAAATCCCACTTGACCAGACCCGGGATCGAACCCGGGCTGCCGCGGAGGGAAGCCAGCGACTAACCGCTTGAGCTATGGCGCGTCCCTGAATGTTATAGTAAGTAAGTATTATTATTATTATTATTATTATTATTATTGAAGGGGGTGGGTTTCCCCATGCACCGCGACCAATTTGATCTATTGTACGTCCCCCTGTGATATTCTACCAGTCTCTATATACCCTACCGGTACTGGCGCGTTCCATCAGTCCCGACTCAGCCAGCGAGTTCGGCCTCTACTGGCTCAGCGGTATCTAGACGCTTCCCCCATCCACCAGAGGCGTTAGAGACTATTGTTGGGCGGGAAATGTCCTTACAAATTTGGCTAAGTGGTCTCCTTGAGACATGAGGTTCTTTTACGTGCCGTAAAGCCATGACACGGGACCCACGGCTTAAAGTCCCTCCCGGAGGACTTGTTCCCTGAATTTTTCCGCCCTTAAAAATTCCACGACCTTCGCCGGGTTTGAACCCACGTACCTTGAGTCATGAGGTGGGAACGTTACCCCTAGACTACGGAGGCCGCTTAGTAATTAAGTAAGTAAGTAAGTAAGGCCTTGATTACTTCTCTCCATAACAGCATGTACAGCTTCTGACAGCGCACACTGCGTCCTCTGCGGGCAGCGTACCGTCGCAGGCACGCCTGCTCGGCTGCCTCCGTGCTGGATACAGACGCTGGTATTCCCTCTAGCATATCCAGCACTAGAGCCGCACACAAATTGCATATCGGCATTCTCGGCGTTACTAAATCGGATGGCGGGGCCTGGGCAGTGTACAGGGGCTTCACCCTCTCAGGTTTTGTGCGTCCATTCCTTTTCAGGATTCCTGAACCAGGAAGATGGCGTGTAGTTTTTGGATGCCTAATGTTGTGCCGTCATCTGAGCCATGACGTGACGTGACCCTGTGAGATTTACTGACCTAAGTTAACGCTTACAGGTTCCAGCGACAAACATGAATTCCAGGCGGAGACGCGGATGCTGCTGGATATTGTTGCCAAGTCGCTCTACTCCGAGAAGGAGGTGAGTACTCGCATTTCACATTTTTGTGTAGTAACTCCGGGGGCCACAGCAGATTTTCCCCTAATCTGTAACGTATTTGGAATGTTACAGCTTGTATAGAACAGGGCGGATTCTTGGCGACGGGCTCCGGGCGTGAAGTCCGAGAATGGGGGGGGGGTTCGATTGCCTACCGGTGGAAGAGATACTCCCCCTCTGTATGGAGGTTCTTACTTTGTTGACCGGTTCTTGTCTCTGCGCTTCACGGCGGCCGGTGCGCCCCCGGATGCGAAGCGAATATGGTTTTTTCCCCATGAATCGATATGCCTGTTGGCCGGTGACTTTCGGAATGAAGTAGATACATTCCACAGATCACAGGAGGTGTTGAATCTGCAGTCCCTGTCAACTGCGGATCGATGGATCTCACATCCGACGACAGACTGTAGAAACCAACTGCAAAAATTAACCTTGCTAGCTGGATCGTGCGGCTGCAAGTCGTGAAATAAGTATTGTTTTATAGGGTCCGAGATTTAGCAATTGTGTTGTCCTGACGAATTAGTTGTGGTTACACACCGTCAGCTTACTGCACCCGGACTGATCCGACAGCATAGGGTCCGTGGCGGCTAGCACGAACGAGCATTCGGGTTCCATTAAAGAGAAAGAATTTCATGATCAGCTGAGCGGTAATCAGAGCCTCAAAAACGACGCTGCTCAGTACTCGTTATGGTAGATACACGCGCAGACTGCCAGTCTGAACACCAGAAGGGTGTGTTTTATTTAGAGGTTGCATTCATCTTAATAAGGCTCGCCGCAGTTCCCAGCTGACACGCAGCCAGCATGTAATAAATGAATGTTCGTATCTGGCCATTACAGTAATGTGCACCCAGATGAATGACCAGAGCTCACGTGTTCTGCGAGATCAATCATGCAGTTTCCGAGAGCGCGACATGACGTGCACTGGGGTACTAAGAACTATCTACATGATGTCGGCTTTATGTGAATTTCGCGTTGTGTCATGATCGTGTGTATGTCTGGCCTCCACAATTGTAATATCAGAACTACGGGCTTTTGGCGCGTTCGCAACCAGCGCGCCTGTTGCCTTCAACACTTCTGCCCGTCAGCATGTAAGAACAGATAATCGCTGAACGAATACTCGTCAGGTTTGATATAGACGAGTTTTACTAGACCGGCTCTGTGGTCTAGTGGTCAGAGTGCCTGGCTAAAGAACCAGACGTCCCGAGTTCTATTCCTGGCGCTACCAAATTTTCTGAGAAGTAGTGGGTCTGGAACGGGTTACACTGAGCCTCGTGAGGATAATTGAGGAGCTACTTTAAGGAAATAGCGACACCGGTCTAGAAAACCGAGATTAACGGCTGCGGGGATCCGTTGCGCTGACCACGCGACATCCTCTATCAGCAAAAGTTGGTACTAACTTCGCCGACTAGCGGCTGTCGCTCGGTCGATGTATTTCGCTTGTGGACTAGAGGCCACGGATTTTTTACTAGAACTTATGTATTCACCCCAATATTGGTTAACATCAGGCAGCAATAATGGACATTTCATATGATCTGAACGCATTTCTGAGCACACTTCGAGCGTAACTCGCTAAATGGTTATCGGAGCGAGAAATGTATAGGGCAAAAGTCGCAGATACAACAGACACGCGTTTTTTTTGTGAGTAGTCCACATAACTTTAGTCCTAACAAATTTAGAGATATTGAAATAAAAGGAAACACCAGTTCCATGCCGGCTCTGGGGCCCACCTGACCTCATCTTGTCTCCGAAGTTTTAAATTGTTAATATAATACTCGTAATGTAACACCGTTGAGGATTCAGTAGAAAATGTCATTTGTTGTTAAGCTTTCTCCCGTACTTCTTTCCAGCTTTGCATGTTATCGAATTATGCGTCCAGGTCAATGTTCAACGCCATCTCCTGCAAATAATACTCACAAATAGTGAATCTTAAACTTCTCTTTTATATAGTATACTGAGCTCCACATACGTCAAAGCATTATCAGTACTCAAAGAATAGACACGATACACCGTACAGAAGATTTCTCTCTTATTCCTGACATACTACATAACCTGTGTAAGGTTTGAGGTTTTCACGGCGGTGACTGTGAAGAATGCCGTCTTCTGGGATGTGGCGCCATGTGCATCTTGTGTGAACCGACGTTTCGAAGGAATATAACGTCTCCACCTTCAGGGTAGAAAAACCCGCGAGCGAGGAACCAGCTTCAGCAGTCTGCAGCTACCTGCTCAAGCTGATTCCTTGCTCGCGGATTTTGCTACCCTGAAGGTGGAGGCGATACGTTCATCCGAAACGTCGGTTCACACAAGATGCACATGGCGCCACATCCCAGAAGACGGCATTCTTCATAATACGTAACCTCCTTTCAGCATGTTAACGCTCGACCGCTCGTTGCCATGGTAACAGGAGATTGCTTAATAATAATGTCAACGCTTACGATTACACACCTTTCTAATTCTGATGGGTGTTTCAAGGTTGGCATGCACATATTTTTTTCCGAAAAGAATATACGTGCCACAGTCGCCAAACTCACTGCGTTTTCAAGGCATTCTGTCACTACACTAACACACTTTCTCCATCGTCAAGGCAAGTTACTGATGCAAGCGGCATAAAAGGTTTTTATCCTTAATGTGTAGGCATTTCAGGATACTCACCGCTTTTATGTTCATCAGTTTGAAGTGTCTGTCTTCCTAGGTGCTCTTTCATTGGTCCGAACAAATGAAAATCACTTGGCTACGTCAGGGGTGTAAGGAGGGTGGTTCGTGATTTCTCAAACCATTGTTACTGATGTCCCCTTCGTCAAATTTTCGTATGTGGACGAGCGTTTGCATGTAGTAGGATGACCTACTTGAAGTTTTCCAGGTCTTTTCTTCCGAAACGCTTGGTGCACATTGTTGCGTAGCAAGTTACTGTAATGTTGTTACACTACATGGAAGGAAATCAACATTAATCAGTTCGTTTGAATCCCAGAACGCACTTATCATGATCTTGCCAGCTGACAACTGTGTGTTCAACTTCTTTACAGCCTGTCTTTAACCGACGAAGAATGTAAAATAATTTTATTTTTCTGGTATCCACGCCGTCACGAAAAAAAAAATCCAGATTTGCCATAAACCACCTGCGCACATATGGAAGGCTCACAGAGATGTGAACATCTGAAGGAAAGCGGGTTCAGTAGTTCCCAGCGCTGCGTCTCGCGTGTGTTCATCCACATCTGAAAATTGTTTCACCACTTGGTAGAGTGTCTTTAAGACGTAACATATTAATTATGTACCAGGTTATAGGGCGTCGCATCCATGAAGATCGCGGCCCTCATTCCCCCAAAACTGAACTTTTTTTTTTCGTCTCGTGTAAATTAAATTACCGTTGAATTGACGTTATTGGTGGCGACACGGCGACGCTAGAATGACTAGGAACCGTGCATGAAAGCCGCGACCGCTGGGGATGTCTGCCATCCGCCACACACGACACGCAAAGTGCACGATCTCTGTTCTGCCACATTCTTGGCTGTTTGATCTGCGCGTTGGTGAGGTGAGGCAGTGATGAATGGTGAGTGCGTAGGGGCTTGGGACGAGGAAGTCGGCTAGCATTCGCTTGGAAAGACTGAGGACTGTACCTCCTTCGTGGTTGTTTTTCAGAGATGGTGGCCCTCCAGACACCATCTTGGCCACACAATAACACGCGAATCATTTCCCTTTAGGAAGGAAAGTAAGTGTACGTGACTGTACTCTCGAAAGTGCCAGAAGTGACCATACAGTTTGAGACAAGCAGTTGCCGTCACTGTAATACTGATGCAGTTTCTTGGTTTCCCCTCCAAATGCCTTAATCATGTCGTGCGCTGCGAAAGGGTTCGCGAACCACAACTTGGAAACGACTGGTCTGAAACTGTAGCTCAATGAGTTCCATGAATTCTAAGATATCCATAAGTTTCCGTGCTAGTTCCCCTTTTCCGATTAAAACAAAGTTCCAAGTTCCAGGGATCCTAGACTTGTTTACGTGAATCCGCGGGCCTGTCTTTGAAGCCTGAACTTCCATCTAAATGATAATTAACAAATCGTTTCTTTCCACCGAAAACATAATGCGTCTTCATAACAAAGCCCAACCGGTTAATGCTGTTTAGGGAAATAATCGCTGTTTATTGTCAGAATCATACGAAACACACAGATACAGTCCATTGTGTGGGCAGAAGGTTGAATATGTTGACGCAGTGCATACAGTTACCGCTCTGCTGGCCCGGGTAACCTGCAAATCTGATATTATAACTAAAATTACCTAAATGTTTTAAGTTTGGTATGAAGGCCGTCTGTAAGTTCCGCCAAGATTCTGTGCTCTCACGTATCGGTGCACTGCGCTGTCCGCCTCGAGGCAGCACTGGCCGATTGTGATGGTTGGAGCAGCGATGACGCTGTAGACTTGTATTCTGTGGGTACTCGGTTCTAATCTCAGTAGGATCACCGGCTTTCCTAACGCTTTCCGTCATTTTCGCCGGTCCTTCCAAGCAAATGCTGGCATAGTACCTCGATTATGCCACTACAACGTCCATAAAAATCCTTTCCAGTTCATCATTCTGTCATCCGAAAGCGTGTATACTGACAGAGTCGTGAAATGATCCATAAACTTACTGGCTGGCAGGCGCGCGGTTGCTAAACTGTCTGCTTTATGAGTGAATCTGCAGACAGTTGTCCCCGTTGGACCCTATGCGCTCTCACCTCTGCAGCGTTTATGTTTGGCAGCAGCGCAACGTTCTTCCGCCCTGCCTCGGACTTCTTATACTCCGTCCTTTTAGAGCGAAAGTATAGCAAGAAGTAGCGGGACAGTGGTTGCGGCTGCATTCTGGGAGCGATGGAGGCCGATGTACTGTAACTAAGGCACAGCTATAACCGAGTCCGCTTCTCAGTCAGTGGGAGACTGAACAGACGCCCTATGCACGCTGTTGAACACGGACAGTACGTTGCGCAGGGGACCTGTAGTGACCTCTCCTTGTATGAATTGT